TTTCTTGTGTCAAAGCAAGTGGTAAGTCCTATAAAATTTGGCACAAAATTTAAATAACCGTTTAGTAAATTGTGCGCTAATATAGGTTAGAAATTTCTTTATTGTTTAATTTATAAAAATATTCGAAATAAGATGTACAATTCAAAACACACAATGCTGTGATACCGATCTAAAAATTGATTGGAAGGTTAAAATATTACAATTCTGATTAGTACGAAAGAATGTTTTAATTTAACTGACTTTTGGGGCATCCTATGTAGCATTTACTGTTCTTTAAGGCGGATAATGGTTTGTGACATTAGTTTATTCTATGTACAAATATTATGTTGAGCATTGCCCCTTGCTTTATGTTTATGTGAGGAAAACACTACCGAAATTTAAGTTTCGGTGTAGTTTTAAAGTTTATTGTTGTCAGCTTCATATACCCACGTTCCTAGACGCATTTAACCAGGCGTTAAATACATAGTTGATAACGGAGGCCGTAGAGTGGGTTTATGTGCGTTGTCGAGGCATCGTATGTGGTGTATGCGATCTGTCGTTGCTGTTGCGAATCACTTACAATGCATGGTTAGAAATGGCGTCTGCCTCACAAGAATTATCCCAAAGAAACAACTGTTTATCCACTAGTGCGACCGACCAGTCTCATATACCAGAGCAGTTTAGACGCCTTTCAACCTATGAATTAATCAGCTAAGTGGATTCATGGTTGATAATGCAGCTGCTGTCTTTATTTACTTCTTAAGGACAAATGAAAAGTTGGATGCCATCTTGCGGCGTTTTTGCGAATCAATTACAACGCATGACCATAAATGGCGTCGGCGTCGGCGTCGGAACCAAATGCTCAATAAACCCGGTGTTTGAGCCAATGCACTAGTGGACTCTAGCGGAGACTTTTGAAACATTGTGTGTTTTGTACCTGGTCCAGAATCCTCCCGCTGCCTACTTAATCCTCTACTTAAAGAAATCCGCTTTCAGTTTTCATTAAATTATGCATTTAAGAGCCTTAGCTATTTTAAATTCGCCAAGCATGGAAAAATAGCTCTATGGAACGGAGTCTATCTTTAGAAGATAATAGATTTCCTGCTAATCAAAATATTCCTTACTCTCCATGGAAGCCATAGGGTCATTGTCGTGTTCACAAGATCATGCTAATATAGAGATTTTTTTAAGACTGGAAAAGTAGGACTGTTGCAACACTCCTAAAATATAGGCGTTACGAGTTCGCGGCCTTGGAAAACTTGGACACTGATGTGGATGTTAATAAAGCTTGGGAAAGTATTAGAGAGAGTATCAAAATTTCTGCCAAAGAGAGTCNCATATACACGGTGCCAAATCCCAGAAGACTGCTTTCTTCAGAGTCTAGGTTATTATGAACTGCAGAGGCATAAGCCATGGTTTGATGAAGGATGCCAAAATTACTAGACCACAGAAAACAAGCCAAACTGCAATGGTTACAGGATCCAAGCGAAATACATACGGATTATTTGAATAATTTAAGACATGAAACCAGCAGGAATTTCAGGAATACAAAGAGGGAATATCTGAAAGACAAAATTGATGAGCTTGCAATGAACAGTAAGAACAAGAATATTAGAGACCTGTATAGAGGAATAAATGACTTTAAGAGGGGTTACCAGCCTAGCAGTAACTTAGTGAAGGATGAAAACGGTGATCTGCTTGCAGATTCCCACAACATTTTGAATAGGTGGAGGAACTACTTCGCTCAGTTATTGAGTGTACATAGAGTCAGTGATGTTAGGCAGATAGAAATGCACACAGCTGAGCCGTTAGTACCTGATTCCAGCCCTTTTGAGGTTGAAATTGCTATTGCAAAATTGAAAAGGTATAAATCACCAGGTAGTGATCAAATTCCGGTAGAACTTGTTCAAGCAAGAGGCGAAATACTGCGTTCTAAGATCCAAAAGCTAATTACTCCTATTTGGTATAAGGAGAAATTACCTGTTCAGTGGAAGGAGTCTATTATTGTACCAGTGCACAAGAAGAGTGATATAACTGACTGTAATAATTATCGGGGGATATCACTGCTATCAACTTCCTACAGAATTATATCCAATATCCTTCTCTCAAGGTTAAGTCCATATATAGATGAAATTATTGGGGATCATCAGTGTAGGTTTCGACGTAACAGATCAACTACAGATCAGATCTTTTGCATTCGTCAGATATTGGAGAAGAAATGGGAGTACAATGAGACAGTTCATCAGCTATTCATAGACTTCAAGAAAGCCTATGATTCAGTTAGGAGGGAAGTATTGTACAGTATTCTTATAGAGTTTGGGATACCCATGAAACTACTTAGGTTGATTAATTAAAATGTGTTTAAACGAAGCGTATAGTAAAGTCCACGTAGGTAAACATTTGTCCGATAAATTTTACTACCCAGAATGGTCTAAGACAAG